ATGGGCGCGGTGGGGGCGCGGGGGCCCCTGGCCTCCCCGGGGCAATCGGGGTCCACACCAGAAGCGGGGACCCCTCTCGAGACCCGGCTCCCAACTGCGAGAGCGACAGCGAGCCGCTGGCTCCATCGCTAGACCCCGCCCCACTCTCTTTATTCTAAGCCCGGCGCTGGTCTAGGTCGGGGCTGCAGAGCCGGGGCCCCCGCGCCCACTGCAGCCTGCACCCGGGGGGCCAGGGGGTACCCCGAGTCCTCTCCTCCCGCGCTGCCCTGCAGAGCCCAGGGACTGAGACGAGACCCGCTTCCCTTCTGCTGTGAACCCCCCGCTCAGGCCTGACAGCTGCAGGACCTGGAGGTCCCCTGCCCCCATCCGTTCCCCGCAGCCCCTCAGGCCGGGGTGGGCGTCTCTCCCCGGCAGCCTGTAGAGAGCCCTGGGTTAGACTCGTGGAAGGGGGTGACCGTGGGGTCCACAGCCTGTAGGGACGGCCAGGAGCCTGCTCCGGGGGGGCCCCTCTCAGCGTGGGGGGCACCCAGCGTCTGTCCGCAGAGAGGAAGATAGATCTGGGAGTTGGGGCCTGGCTGGAGGAGGCTGGCGCCAGCGCTGGGTGGGCGGCCGCTCCACGCTCGGCACGGGAGCAGCCCCGTGCCCTGCTTCCCTGGTGACCTTGGGCCGCGCGGCGCCTCCCGGAGCCCCGCGCCCTCTTGGGAAACTGAGGTAGTGGGCCTCAGACCGGCCTCCTAGATTCTGAGCTCACCCGGCCACCTGGAGCCGGGTACACCCCATCCTTCGCTTTCGAGGCGGGGCTGGGGTCGAGACCCTGAGTGGGTCTGGAGACCCCTCAGGAGCCTCGCTGGCCCCTGGGCCTCCGTTTGCCGCACTGCGAAGTGGGTCGACGGTCACACTCGGGCCGTGCAGGAGAAGCTGAGCGCAGCCTGGGGACTGTCCTGCTTGACCTAAAGGTCACTCCGCACCGTCCATCCGGCAGCACCGCGGTTCAGCCACCCCGTCTCACCGGTGGCGCTGCTCGGGGCACACCCTGACCCACATACCATCACCCACGCCAGGCGAGCCAGGCCTTGGGCGGGGTCCTGAGGGGAGGAGGCTGGAGGCCACGGTCAGCGTCTCCTCTGTCCCTGGTGCATGGGACACAGGGGTGATTTGGGCTGGGAATGCGACGCCCCCATGTTTGAGGCCGCCTCCCCGTGTGGCTTTGGCTCTGCTGCCTTGTTTTATCCCTCTGTGAAATGGGCGGAACCCCTGGGGAAGATCAGAGGACCCTGTGGGAGGAGGTGGCCTTGTAAATGCAGATGTGATGGTCTGATATTAATGATAATATTAGTGTGCATTTGGGGGTCACAGCAGACCCAAAGTGGGCGGGGAGGCTGAAAGTGCAGAACCCTGAGTGTCCAGCAGAGCCAGGTATACAGTCAGTGCTCAATAGGTGTGTGCTGGTGAAGAGGGAGCAGAACAGCGGGGAAGGGGGGAGTGTCCTGAGCATGAGTTCCGGTGGGCCTTCAGTGGCAGAATCCCTGGGGACCCGGGGCGTGTGCCTCAGTCTCCCCACCGAGCGCTGGCTGAGAGGAGATGCTACCAGCAAACACCAGCGCGGGAATGAAGCCAGACCGTGAGTGGTCACAGCCCTGGTGGCTGGGCCAAGAGGAGGTCAGGACAGAGCTGTCACTGAAACAGCGTGGCACCCACAAAGACCAGTGGCCCAGGGCCCTGGAGGCCCGCAGTGGTCCAGTCCAGGGTGACCCACCGTCACCCAGCAAGACGTCAGGCGCTCCGGAGTCCTGGTCAGCCCTGACCTGATTCCCAGGCGAGGAGCCGGCCCGGCTTTCTGTCTGATTCAGTTCCTGCCCTGTGTGGTCAGCTCCCCGAGCTCCAGGTTTTCGGGAACTAGAGCTGGGGGGCAGGATGGGAAAGGCTGGGAACGGCGGCCCCCGCTGTGTGGCCTTGGGCAAGGCCCTGTCGTCTCTGGGCCTTGGGCCGCGGCCAGGCTGGAGCTTTGGCTTCCGCAGAGCCAACCCCTCCTTCAGCAGCAGTTTGGACTCAGGATACTCTGAGGGGCTCAGGGAGGCGCTTTAACTTCTCAGAGGGGGAAGGGGAAGTCTAGGAATGTGGTGTTAATACATGTGTCTTGATGCCAATGCTGTTGTGAGTTATAATTTAGAATTTCGTTTCGTGCGGGGCCTCCTCGGGCCAGGCTCTCCCCCCCGGAGCCTCGGTTCCCACCAGGCCCCGTCCCTGGGCCACTCGATCTGCGCCGGCGGAACGCTGGGCCCGGCTCGGGGCTGGGCCGTGGGTGCTGCTGGTGCCCAGCTCCCCTGGTTATCACTGGCGTGGTAATGGCAGCCCTGGTCTGGTGCCTCGCTTCAGGTGCCTCAGTTTACCCACGCAGACGGCCTCCCCGTGTTTCTGGGAGGTCCCCGGGGAGCCGGTTGGGGCGGCAGGCCAGGTGGCAGTTGCTGGTAGGCGGGGCAGGGGGAGCTTCCTGCCCCCCCACGCACCCAGGCCTCCCGTGGGCTGGCGGAAGTGGCAAGGCCTCTGGCTGCGTCCCAGTGCTGCCCCTCCCCCGGGGACCCCGCTCCCCTGTGCCGTCTGGTGAGTCTGAATCGGGAGACCCTCACGTCCCCCCTCTGTCCCGGAGCAGGGGCAGGAAGGAGGCCCCTGCGCGGCTCGGTTTGGGGACAAGCAGCAGGTGTCACTTCCTGGGCTGGGCCATCCCCGTGATGGCTCCGGTGGTGGCGCAGGTCCGGAGGCCCAGGGCTACTCGTGGCCCTTCAGAGCACGAGCTGCCTCGGCCGGGGCAGCGGTCAGCCCAGAGGCTACCAAATGCTTCTGTGCCTCAGTTTCCCTGCCTGTGGAGGTGGGATGAGTGCAGGAGGTGGCGGCGGGGCAGGGAGGGTGACGGGTGTGGGAGTTGGCGGGACTGCTGCCCCATGGGGGTTGTGGGGGCACCTCCTCGGAGCCCTGAGACAGAGGCGGGGTCCCTGGAGTCTAGGAAACGGCCTCAGAGGCTCCGGCAGCCCCAGAGCCACACATGTGGCAGCACTTTCTGGGTGCTGCCCTGTCGTGAGCCCCGAGGACGGCGGCCCAGGGAGGAGGCCGCAGGACCGTGTCTTGCCCAGTGTGAAATTCCGTGGCCGCGAGGGGCCAGCGTGTCCTAAGGGACGGGAGAGGCCGTGACCCAGGCCATGGCCGGAAAGGGAGGAACCATGGGGAGCTGGGGGCTTTCCTCCCGAGGAGGAGGAGGAGGAGGCCCCCACCAGAGCTCCCTCTCCTCTGGGCTGCCCTGGGAGCTGGAGTTTCCCAGGCCTAAAACTTCTCCCAAGCACTGGGTGGTACTTGGGTACACTGGTGAACCAAGTAATTATTGGCCTAGTGAACTCCTATTTATGGGTTACACCCCCACCACGGGCTTCCCTGGTGTTTGTGTATCCGTCTGGTTGATCCCCGGCCTCAATAGCCCCGGACGCCTGTGTCTAACTCTGGCCTCCTAGACAGGGGTCCTTTGGGGGCCCAAAGCCCCAGTCAGTCCTCTCCAGCAAGGCCTGGAGAGCTTCCCTGGTTACCCGGGTCCCCGTCCCTGCCTCACCGTGCTTCTTGGGCACCCAGCTGCTGCGGCGCTGCCCTCGGGCTGTGAATTATAGATGAGGCCCTCGGGCTCCGGTGTCGAGCTGGCCTGGGGACTGTGCCGAGGACACCCACCCCTCCCCCGCCTGGGGTCCCCGTGAGACCCCTGCTAGGCATTCTGTCTTGTTTTGCAGATGGGGAGACAGAGGCACGGAGCTGGACAGTGACCCAGACACCAGGTGAGCAGGGGTTTCCTGGGCAGGGCTGTACATGGGGGCTCAGAAGGCCCAAGGGGTGTTTGGGGACGCTGTGGGGACCCTGGCTGACACATGGCTCACACAACCCAGCCTCCATCTCTCACCACACCCTCTTCTTCCCGCAGGAGCCACCCAGCGTGGAGCACGGGTCTGGCCCAGCTGGCTCAGGGTGCAAGTCCACTGTTACTCCCTGGCTGTGTACCTTGGCAAGTAGCTTCCCTCCTTGGAAGGACTCATGTTTCCAACCTGTGAAATGGCTCAGAGTGTCTCCACCTACATGGGGCTTACCCATCCTTGTACACCCTTGCCCATGAACTCTTACACATGCTTCCAAGCCCTGCTTTCCATGCCCCTTCCTCCAATCCAGACCTCCACTTCCCCATTCCTGCATGAACTTCATCCCAACCCCATGAGACTCAGGCCATCTACTCTCCTAGCCTGGGGGTTATAGGACCAGGGTGGAATCCTCTCCAAGGCCCTGGCATGCTCTCAAGCCTGGGGCTTTTGGTTCCTCCTTCATCCTCCATCTCTGTCCTCCTCAGGGAGGAGAGCTGGAATTTCCCCTCCTGAGCCCACACTACTTATGACTCAGGCTCAAATTTGCCTCTCTCTTCAGACACATCTCGGACAGGGTCTTCACAGAGGCCATCAGGATGTCATATTTTGGAGAGCATTTTTGGGTAAGACCTATTCTTATTTTGGTGGGGGCTCTGGACAGGGACTTTTATGGAGATGGGGAGACTGTCTTGTGCACAGAGCCTTGGGCAGGTAGTGGGTCTGCAGGACATAGGGTTTAAAGTGGAAAGAGACAGGCTGGGTTCGAATCCACACCTCAGCCCTCGCAGGCTTTGTACCCTGGGCAAGTGATTCACAGCTTAACCCCGGAGAAACTGAGGCCCAGCGCAGGGCTCTGTAACCTGAAAACTGCTCGGTGGTGAAGTGCAGAGTTGTGCCTCCAACCTGGGGCCAGGACCCAGGCTCAGCCCAGCGGGAAGGTCCTCGTGCCCCCGCCCTGAAGAGTTGGGGTTCCTCGCTGGACCCCAGGGCCCTGCCACCCTTCCCCATCCAGGCCGGGCAAGTGCGGATATGTGTGTGGCCCGCAGTTTCCATCCCTTCCGCCCGCCCTCCCCTCCGGCCCGCCCGCCCAGCTGGCTCGGGGACCAGCTTCTGGTCCTGAGAGCCACATCCCAGCCCGAAGAGAGCAGTCCCGGGCGGGGGGCTCAGAGCATCCTGACCCCCAGCCCTGCAAGGTCGTGGCTGAGCCCGGCCTTGGGGACCCCGGGAAGGAGCCAGGACCCTGAGCTGGGTCTGCTACGGGCTTCGGGCTTTGGGGGCTGCGCTCCGCCCCCTCCACCCCCCACCCTCGTCTGTGACGGACCCGGGCAGAGAGCAGCCAGCCAACGCCCAGAGGTGTGAGGCGGGGCAGGGTCAAGGAACGAGGGCTCCTCCTCAGGGCCAGGCCAGTGGGAGCCGTGGAGGGTGTGGGAGCAGGAGAGACCCCGGAGTCGGGGAGGACCGGGCAGAAAGCCCCCTCCTCACTTGCAAGGCCCTGAGCGTGCAGAAGCCTGTTGCTAGGTAACCGGTTGCCCCAGCAACAAGTCCCCGGCTAGGGCTCTTCCTCCCTGCCTCCCCAGCTGGGGCTCCTCTCATTGGCACTGCTTTCTTAAAGGGGCCTTACCCCCTTGCCGCCTGCAGGGATCTGACCTCCACCCTCCCCCTAAGGGTCAGACCCCCCAGGTCGGCCTCTGAGTGGCTGTGTGACGCGCCGAGGGCTGTCCCTCTCTGAGCCCGGTCGGCAGCAGTGTAAGAGGCTTGACCATTGCGGAATCCGCCCCCGTGGAGCTCTGACAGCAGCGCCCACGTTCATTTTCGGTGTCTTTTCATAGCACGAGGCGCCTACCTTTATTTTCAGTTCTTTTTAATGGCACGAGGTGCTCAGCTCACTGCAGAAGCCGCCGATGAGCAAAGGAAAATAGAAACCAGCCCCCGCCCTCCCCCATAGACAGCCCAGCTCGGAGCGGCTGAGCAGCTGAGCGCTTTGAATCGGGCCCCCAGCACGCGACTCTGCCTCTCTGAGCCTCAGTTTCCATCTGGGGAAGGGAATGGAGTTTCCATCTTCCCCGGACTCAAGGTCTCTGAGACTGGCCGCACCAGGCACCGCGCGATGCGGTGTTTCATTGTCGCGGTCCTTGCCCCTGAGCCCCCGCGTACGCCTGGCTCTCTCTTGGGTGGCATCTCGGCCCCGGTGCCCGCAGGAGACACCCAGTGGGCTGAGGACCCGGGGAGGGCGCGCAGCCCTGTGAGCCAGGGCAGAGAGAGCGGAGGCGGAGAAGGCACTAGGGAGCCCAGGTGGGAGTGTGAGCGGGAGAGAGGGCGGCCGCGGTGGAAGGACCTGCTCCCGCTGGCCCTGGGGCCGTTCTGGCAGCAGACACCGGCCGAGACAGCCCACCCGAGGGAGGCTGGCCGCTGGCTCCCAGGCCCGGGAAGCGGGCCAGTGGTTGGCCGCGGGTCAGCACCACATGCAGCCCGGGCAGCGGTGCCTGGTGCAGCCTCCCTCGAGGATCCGGCAGCTGGGCAGGAACGCTGCTGGAGCTGGGGCCGAGCCCCCACTGGGACCCAGGAGGCGCCTAGGCCAGAGCTCCGCCAGCCCCGTGTCACCCAGATCCTGGGGAGCTGGGGCTGTCGTTCTCCCCATTGGTCAGAGGAGAGAACTGAGGCCGGAGAGGTGATGTCCCTAACCCAAGGTGGCCAGGAACAGAAGGGGTCCCAGGCGTCGGCCCAGGTTGGACTCCGTGGGGCAGGAGAGACTCAGACCTAGACCCTGCCTTGGCTCTCACGTGGGACGGAAAACACACGACAGGGATTTGAACAGCAAGGCTGAACTGGTGTGCAGCAGTGAAGAGTCATGGGCAAGTGGCTTTCAGGCTTGGCTTGATCCAGCAACCCCACTAAAGCTGCGTGCTGTTCTGATTGTTACCGGCCCAGCAGGATTCTGAAGCTTATGGTTTCCACTTTGCTTCTCACATCTCCTGTCACCGCATAGTTTCTCATTATGGAAAAACTCTCAGGATAGAGCTAAACTGATGGAGAGAGAGGCAGAGAGAAAGAGAAAGACAGAGACACAAGGACAAGCGAGCGTGTTCTCCCCAGCTGGGAGACAAAATTCTCAGGCTTTTCACTGATTGGATCAGTGAAATGTCCATGAGCCAATCCCTGTAGCCCAGGGGAATTGCTGCAAGCTGATTGGTTCAGGAAGGGGAGGACTACAGCCAAGGGAGAACTTGTACAGGTTGACTCCTTTGCCCTACCCTTGTTGCTAGGTGACATAGATACCCCCCCCCTATTTTCCCCTCTGCCGAATCTCTTCCCCATCCCTCCAGGGTGAGAAAAACCATGGCTTTGAGGTCTTGTACCACAGCGTGAAGCAGGGGCCCATTTCCACCAAAGAGCTGGCTGACTTCATCAGAGAGAGGTGAGGTTTCCCCCATGCCCCACCCACCACGTGGCCCCGCCCGCCGCCCTCAACCACGCCCCTCGAGGCCCCGCCCCTTCTCCTCTGGGCATGCGCGCTCTTGCCCTGTCCCACGCCTGAATCTAGGTCCAGATTCCTCCTCCTGGGTGTGCTGGGCGCTGGAGGGGCTCGGAGACCCTCGGTCCTGTCAGTCCGTCTCCTCTTTTAAACAGTAACCGCAGGGGCTCTGAGGCCTCCATCCAGAAAGTGAGATCACTTATATCAGCGAATTTTTAAACTCCATTTCGCACGCTGATAAATGAAAACATGCATGCAGAAATCATCTGCATTTCAGAGCATCTTTTCACAGACACCTGGGGTCTAGAAAACACCACGGACTACAGCGCGGAGGCAGCCTCTGCGCCCATGGGCGTTGCTTTTAACTGGGACATCCCTGCCCCTACGAAAATTGAAATTAACTAGGCATTCAGCAGGATTTTTCTGCAATTAAGTGAGATAAACCATATAAAGAATTTAACATAGTGCCTACATTGTAATATGTACTCACTACAGTTTTTTTTACCTGTAGCTGCTACAAATACTGTTTTTAGTAAAATGAAATACATAAGGGAGAAATCTCTCCCATGAATGTCCACAACGCCCGCCTCTGAGAGCCACTGCTCAGATGTCTGAGCCGGGCGAACTGGGGCCTGGGGTGGGGGAGGTGCCCGGGTGTTTGCCCACCTCCTCCCCGCACCTGTCCCCCAGGGCCACCATCGAGGAGACCTACTCGAAGGCGATGGCGAAACTTTCCAAGCTGGCCAGCAACGGGACCCCCATGGGGTAAGTGAGGCGGGGTCACTAAGGCAACCGGGACTGGGGGAGGCAGGAGCCTTTGTAGGGGTCACATCCCTGCGCTCGGGTGACACGGAGTTGGCAGTGTAACTGCTTCCCTGCTGGGCCGATCGATGGGAGAGAGGACTGTACCTCATTCACGTACTAGCCCCTTCCTTCCTTCTTTTTTGTTTGTTTTGTTTTGTTGGGTTTTTTCCTGTACTGGGAATCGAACTCCTGACCTTGCGCTTGTTAGGCAGGCGCTGTGCCGCTGAGCTAAATCCCCACCCCTGCCCCTTCCTTCCTTCATTCATTCATTCTTCCCACAAATATTTGCGGGGCCCCGTTCTGAGTGTCAGCCCCCGCGGGCATCCCTGGGCCCTTCAAGAGACGTGTTAAATGAGCTGTGAGCAGAGGTCCTTTTCTGGGCGAAACAGGAACTGGAGGAGCTGGGCAATCGCTCCTGAGTGCTCCTGAGCCCAGACTACAGACAAGGACTGTCTCTGGGCCGTCTGAGGGCGGAGACCCAGGCGGCACCCAGGCCAGTGCAAGGACGCTGAGCTGAGGCAGCGATGCCCAGGGCAGGGCCGAGGCCGCCCAAGGCGGCTGGCATCGCTGAGGGTCAGGGTGAGGGGGAGATGCAGTGGGAAGGGGGGCGGCCGGGACGGGACACACGAGTGCCTTTCCGGTGGGGCTGGGCTCTCCTGGGCAGGCGCCGAGTTCGCACGGCTGCTGTGGGGCAGATTTCTTGAAGGGGCCTGAACAGAGAGCAGAGAGAGAAGGCAGGAAGGAGGCGAGGGGTGCGGGCCGCGCGGTTGTGCATGGCCAGGGCGAGGCTGTCCCACAGGTGACTGTAGGGTGGGCTGGGAGCCCTAGACCTGCCTGAGGGCTGCCGGGGCCTCGGGGCCGGGTTTAAATTCCAGCCTTGGGGCTGGGGGTGCAGATCGTAGGGGAGCTCTGGCCTGGCACGCACGGGGACTGGGTTGCAGCCCCAGAAACGCAAAGAAAATGCGATGACGTAGTGAGGGACATTTGGCCCAGTGCCTGGCGGGCCCGGGGGGGTGGGGGGCAGCAGCTCTGGACCTTCCGGGCCCTGGGTGTGACCCGCCTGTCCCCAGGACCTTCGCCCCACTCTGGGAGGTCTTCCGTGTGTCCTCCGACAAGCTGGCCCTGTGCCACCTGGAGCTGACTCGGAAGCTGCAGGACCTCATCAAGGACGTGCTCCGCTACGGGGAGGAGCAGCTCAAGACCCACAAGAAGGTGCGTGTTTGGGGGGCTGCCCACCCGGGCCGGGGCACTAGTGGCTCGGAGGATCCCGAGCCACCTGTGGCCCCACCCCCTGGTGGAGCTGCTCAGAATCCTGCTCATGCGCAGAACACAGGCCTCAGCATCCTGCGGACCTGACCCTTCAGCCGGTGCACCCTCAGAATTCTACCCGGGAGGGGGCGGGGGCAGCTCACAGCGCATGTGCGAAGCCGGCCTCTGCGCGCAAAAAGGGGTCGGTCCTACAGGAGGAGCTTGCCAGTCGGTCTGCACAAACCCAGCCTCTGCCTGTTTTTGTACAGCCGAGGCTGGTTTTTGCGTTTTTACTTCTGTTTTGTTTTATTGGTTTTTTACATGTTTAAGAGGCTAGCAACACATCAAAAGAAGAATGCTATTTGGTGACATGCGAGGGCTGTGTGATACAGTACTCAGGCGCCAGTGGGTGTTAATGAAGTTTTATAGGCACACAGCTGCCTTCACACCTGTGCTGGTGCCTGCGGCGTTTCTGGGCCACAGCGCAAAGCCCAGTGTAGGGGCTGGGATTTAGCTCAGCGGCACAGCGCCTGCCTGGCAAGCGCAAGGTTGTGAGTTCGATTCCCGGTACCGGAGAAAAACAAACAAAAAAAAAAAAAAATGAAAAGCCCAGTGTCACTGTCGCTTTCTACAGAAAGCAGTCTCTAGCCCCCATCCCGGAGCCCTGATCTCGGAATTCCTAGAGGCTCGAAAACCTAGAACCTCAGATCTCTGGAGCCTTGGCCTTAGGCTCCCACACACTCGCAGCTTAATGACTGGAGACTCGGATTTCCCACACACTCGCAGCTTAATGACTAGAGACTCAGAGATTGGCCTAGTCCCCGCTGACGGGGCTCGGATTTGGGGCTTTCCGGCTTGCAGTGCTGCAGAAGCCTTCTGCACCGAGTGGGAACCAAAGATGGCGTCTTGAATTAGCAACACACAGGCCCATCCCGTGTCTAGGTTAGGTGGACCAGCAAGGTTCCCTTTTCAGTATCTTCAATTTATGATGGATTTATTGGGACACAAGCCTATCACCAAATAGCATCGGTACAGGGTTCTAGAACATTTTCTTCTCCAGTACTGGAGGGTGAACCCAGGGGAGCTCTCCCACTGAACTGCATACCCAGCCCTTTTTACTTTGAGACATAATCTCCATAAGCTGCCAATTCCCTATGGCTCCAATTTGGGATCCTGAAGCCTCAGCCTCTCTAAATACTAGGATCGCAGGCCTGCACCACCCTGGCTTTTCCTTTCCTTCTTTTTTTTTTAAAAACAACCTCTTCCTATGTAGCCCAGGCTCCCCTTGAATTAACAATGCTTCTGCCTCAGCCTCCTGAGGACTAGGATTACAGGTGTGCACCTACCATCACATCTGGCTGAATCTGCATATTTTAACCCTTGTGAAATTTTATATATGGAACTCAGGGCCTCCCACATGTTCCGCAAGTGATTTCTCTCTGAGCTGCACCCCCAGCCCCCTAAATACTTTAAAATAAGTAAAATGCTCAGAAAATGGCCGTAGCCCTGGAAGGCACAGAGCGCCTGGGACCCCCGAAGGTCACCTTGCGCCCCGCGCACACAGCACCCACAGCCCTCTCTGCCTGCAGTGCAAGGAGGAAGTGGGGGGCACCCTGGACGCGGTGCAGCTGCTCGCCGGGGTCACCCAGCTGCTGCCCAAGTCCCGCGAGAACTACCTGAGCCGCTGCGTGGACCTGGAGCGGCTGCGCCGAGAGAACACCAGCCAGAAGGAGGTGGACAAGGTCGGTGCTCGCCGGGGCTGGGGCTGCTGCCTGAGTGACAGGCGTCACAGCGAGGCCACCCGGCTCCCTGCCGGTGACAAGGCCGGCCGAGTGACCCGTCCCCATCCCCGCCCCCGCCCCGCGTCTCCTAGGCGGAAACCAAAGCCAGGAAGGCGGCCGGGAGTCTGCAGCGCGCCGTGGAGAAGTACAACTCGGCCCGCGCCGACTTCGAGCAGAAGATGCTGGACTCGGCGCTGGTGAGCACCAGGCGCAGGTGGCCGGGGCCCGACGCGTCCCGGCGCAGGCCGCCGCGAGCCCCGTCCCAGGCCCTCCCGACACGGGCCGCCCGCCTGTCGCCGCGCTGAGTTGTGTCAGATGCCAACTCGTGCTGTGCCTCAGTTTACCCCTTAGTGAAGAGACGGTGAGGGCGCCTGCCTCGTAGAGATGTGAAAATTAAATGAGTCACACTGCGAAGTTTTCAGGTTTAGTACCAGGCGCAGGGAAACCACTCCATGCGCTACTTTTGGGGGGTTTTTTTGTTTGTTCGTTTTTGGGGTTGTTTTGGTACCGGAAATCGAATTCAGGACCTTGCGTTTGCCAGGCAGATGCTTGTGCCACTGAGCTATAGCCCTGGCCCATATTCTTGAGATTTTTTAGACAAGGAAGGACAGAGCTTAGAAGCCAAGAGTCTCCTAATTTTCTTTATTTATTTTTTATTTTTTGTCTTTTTGAGACAGGGTCTTACTATGCAGTTCAGGCTGGCCTTGAGCTCACTTTGTAGCCCAGGCTGGTCTCAAACTCGCAATGATCCTCTTGCCTCAGCCTCCCGAGTGCTGGGATTACAGGCGTGCGCCACCACGCCCGGCTCGAGTCTCCTAATTTTCTTGGCCGCAGAGAGGCCTGGGTTCCCA